TTCGTGTGGGGGTTTTGGTGGAGTGTTTGGCCAGCCACACACAGACAAAATGGGCCGGGGCCAAGGTTGAGAAACACTGGTCTACAGCTTGAGCCTTTTGGGTACAGTGATCATAGCACAGACTTAGGAGTGAATGAACCATCAAGTCCCTTGCAAGCCCTTGTTCTCTGCTCCAAGGATTGCCTGGCCTCAGTTTACTTCAGACAGTTCAGACTGACCTTCTGGGTGGTTTTGGAGCCTTTTTTCCCTGGTCTCTTCCCTTCTTCATCATCAGAGGCTGCCTAGAGTAATAAAGTTTATTTATTTAATTTATTTGTTAAATTTATATGCTGCCCATCTCCCCCAGAGAGTGACAAAAATTGGATTTTGATTATTTCTATACTGTTTTTACTTAGAAAAATGCCAGAAAGACACTCCTGACACTCAAGCTACAGCTTCCTACATCCTCAACAAAAATGTCTGCAAGGTAAAACTTCAAGATTGGAAAAAAAACCAGGAATCTGACCACCAGGATTCCTACACATCTGCAATTTCTTCTATTTAGGAAACAGAATTTATTTCGAGTGCTGGGAAAGAGCCAGGGCCAAACAGATTTATTATCACTGCCTAGGAATTTGGAAAAATTCATCTCAGCTCCACTGACAATCATTCTCTCCTTTCCATAAAATGAGACTTTAAAGTAAATGCTTTCATGTGAATGCTTTAAAGAAATAGTCAAGGCCGAAGACAGCCAGACTGTTGATCAAGTTATATATTCTTGTTTTGCACAAAGGAGCCCTCATCAGCAGGAAGCAACTCTGACCACTCACTATAGCCCTCAACCTCAGCCTTCAGATTTTTCTCAAGCATTAAAAAACTTCTGCATGCAGGCATTACACCTAGCTTTAAAGCAAGAAAAAAAAAGAAAAGAAAAGATGGGTTGTGCATCAGCTGGGCTCACAGATGACACCCATTTACTTTTAGATCAGGCAACACACAATCTTGCTAACTGGGATCAAGGGCCACCATTTGGGGGAATAAAGTCCCTATCCCTTCTTCCAATCTAGCATGGGATCCTGTTACACCAATGGCCCCTTTGCGATTGGCCAGGTAGAAAGCAGTGGTGTGGCCTGTACAACGCAACCAATCCATGCTGCATCTTCTGTGTTGTCAAGTTGGAATGGAATGCTCTGCATTTTCTGCTAACCTCCATCTCCACTTCATTGCTACAATTGATGGATTTGGGGTTTTATCAAAGATGGTTGACCAGGGAGTGTAGCCTGATTCATAATTGCTCTGGTAGAGTTTTGAGTTAAAATTATCCCTTTCTTCCTAAGCATGCAAGACTCTTACTGATCCTGTTAAGTTGTGTGAACAAAATCGCTACGTGCCCTGGGACTGAGTCCAGGGAATATCCAGAGCTCTTAAAGCTTAGAAAGCATACAGATTTCTTTCCGTGGCCACATGGCATGGTCCACCCAACCCGTCACAAAAGTGAGGAACACGTACTATTGAAGGCTGCAGCACCTTAGGAGTAATTCATAGGAGAACCACATAACAATCACAGAAGGAGCTGTCTGTCCTCTCCATGACATTTTCCCCCAAGTGATCATTTTTGTTTTCCTTTTCAACCTACTCTTTTTCTTTTTCTGACCCTCTCCCCACTTAGCAGGGTGAGACAGACAGGATTGCTTGCGATATATTTTGAAACACAGCTGAAGGTCACATGAAATTAGGCTGCCCACCCCCACCTAGAAACTTCCTGCCAGATCACTCCCGTTAGATTATTCCCAAACAAGCTCACCTTGTTGCTCTTATTCTTGTCAGGTTTCATGGGCTTTGATGTTTCTTCTTCCTCCTCCTCTTCACTCTGCTCCTGGTTCAAGGCAGCAAACACATTTCCTTCCTGAAGGTGACCAAGAGAGAAAGCGCTAGTGAGAAGAATGTCAAGAAAAGGACCAGGCGATGGAACCTCCTCAAGACACCAAAACGAACTAGCCCAAACATTCACACTTTTTCAGGCCACAGAATCTGTTAATTAAAAAAAAAAAAGCCAAGGATCCCCTGATCAAGAGACAATGCTCTAATGACAGAAAATTAGTTGCGTTGGAGTGAACTTTTTCTTTTTCCTTAGTCTCTCATGGAACCCCATCAAGGAACACAGTCTGAAAACACTCCCTTAGCAGCTGTCTAGGCATTGGGTTAGGAATATGAACTGAAGTACTTTCCTTTGCCTAAAGACATAACAGAATCCTGATCATTAAATGGCTCACAACCCCTGCCCCCAATATGATCATTATCTTAATGAATGACATGATTTAATATTTTCAAACTGTATTGATTTCCTGCCAAATTATTAATCTATACTATTACATAGGAAGGAAACATACTAACTTGACTTTAAAAAAAACAAAAACCCGAGGGCTGAGCATTAGCCAGCATGGCCAAAGGTGACAGATGCTGGGGGTTGAAGTTCAGCAATATCTGGAAGCCATGGATTCCCCATCCCAGTTTAAGTTAATTATGCTTATTCTGATTATGTATCCATAATTCCTCCTAACCCTCTCCCTGCCTTTTTAAAACAGCTTTAAGGGCCATACTGACTGAAGTGTCCTAGGAGTAAAATATCTGCTACTCTCACTCACTCTCGCACCACCTTGTTCACTGTGGAGGACACAAGCTTTGCAGAGCACCATTTTGTATTCTGCATTACTCAATCCATATTCAGAGAGCTAAAGGTTGCAAGGGCTGGTTTACTGCATCCAAACTCTTTTCTTCAGAGGGTAACTCATTCTGTTTTCACCTCTCATTCTTGTCCAACAAAAAAGGACTTTGAAAGCACCCAGGAACTTACTTTCTTTTTCTTGCCTGCTTTGGTGACAGCAATGGGCACTGGAAGAGAAGCAAAAAGTCATACTGGGTTGTGATCTAGAAAGACCCTAGGTAGGATCAACTTCACAATCTGAAGGACATACTCTAGCTTTCCCTAATCAAACTAATTTGGATTACAACTCCAATCATACCCAACTGGCAGAGGATGGCGGCCTTGAAGAACGCATCTCACTCTTAGGCAAACTTGCCTGAAATCTTGCAAGATCTTGTCATTCATCCATGAAACTTTATGAGATCTCAGGTAGGAGCCCTGAAGTCTCTCAAGGTCTCAGCCATTTATAAACTTAAATATCTATTTAACATGGGAGGTCTTCACCACGTCAAGGAGTGTTGCAAGTACCCAGGGCCAACCCCTATAATAGCAGTCTGAAAAGCAATATGAAAGCCTGCAGCCTCCCACCTTCATCTTCCTCATCACTGGCTTGGGCAGACAGCTTCTTCAATCTCTCAATCAGCTGGTTCTCCTCCTCATCTTCTTCTGCTGCCAGTTTTTTCTTCTGGTCTTTCTTTTTATCTCGCCTCTTCTTTTGCTGCTGCTGCAGGCAAGAGATCCCCCACAAAAAAGAGAGAGTCAGAGGATGGGCAACCTGCTGCCTTCAGCAGAGTAATGCCTTGGCTTCAGAGTCCACAACGACTTATACAACGAGCTGATTTGGAAATGACTTGCCTGTTGCTGTTGCTGCTCCTTCTTTTCTTTCTCTGCTGTCTGATTCTCGCTGGAGTGTTTCTCCTCCACAGCCAGTTCCTCAAAGAACTTGGGGCACAGGAAAGCAGTTTGGGAGAATTAGTGGCAGGAAGATGACAATAGAGCAGTAACATATTTCTAACACTGCCACTCCCGCCGCAAGGATGTGTAACTCTCTTGCAGCTGGGAGATGCAAACAGATGTGTGCAGAATTTTCAGCAATGATGAGGAGGATGGTATTTGGAGATGTCATGACATCAGAGCGGATGGACCAATGTTTAGGTGCATCTCGGGTAGGTTAAAGAGCAGAAATGGGGATATTAAGTCCTTTAAAAAACCCCAAATAGAGAATATTGACCAATTTGGGGAGGAAGGAATTTGGGCTTTTAAGTAACGAAATAGGTGTCTTAAGCTTCTGCAAGATTTAAGGCACTGATTTTATCTTTTAGCTCCCCCATCACCTAATATGCAAAATACATAAATAAATAATGTGCTATGGCCGTGCTCTCTCTGGGCCTGCAAAAGGACCTCAAAAGGAATACTGGAAGCGGTAACGTGGCCCATGCTCATCCTACCGAAAGGATGATGGAATTTATTTATTTAAAGAAGATTTATGGCTGCCTGTCTGACATACTGATCCTAGGCAGTTCTTAACAAACAATTGCAAAATAACTGCTTTCAGCTCCCTTCCCTGTGCCTTTTCCATGTTACTGAAACTTTAGGAACCAAAATTCAGGGTTTAACTGAATAAAAGCATTGCAAGAATAGCTTCTCCCCCAACTTATACCAGACAGACTCAGACCCATATTTAAAGAACTATGCTTCTTAAGAGATTGAGATAAGCATTTTAAGGCAGAGGCTTGATTTTTGCTCCACAAACTTTACTTCCAGGAACTCTGAAGACATCACATCACTGATTATGCAATCAGTTGTGGATAGCATATGCAGAAAGGGGGAAATGTGATCCTTTTCCAGTTATTGCTTGCTTTCTGAAAGAGAACTGGAGCATTTAAACACCTTGCCTTTCACAATGGGATAGTGATAGTGATGGTGTTTTCCATTATTTTTCAAACTTAAGCTAAAAAAAACACATGTGTAAATTTAACTTAAAAGCTTCATCTTACAAATTTCTATCTCATAGAAGAAAAGACATCGTAGAAGAAAAGAAATGGGACGGGGCAACATCCTGGCCAAAAATAGCCTTCTCTGAATTTCATGGTGGTACTGCTGTCTTTCTCTAAGGCAGTGTTGTCCAAATTTGGCCACTGTAAGATGAGTGGACTTCAACTCCCAGAATTCCCCAGCCAGCATGGCTGGCT